GTGAAGCGTGTGTGTCGCGTGTGAGAGTCATGTGCCTGCAAAGTGTGTGGTGACAGCGGCAGCGGCAAAAGATTGTTGCACCCACTCTCTCATGCCTTGGATTCTCATCAGATTTTCTTTTTGAAGTTCTTGTCAACTCTCCTTCCAATCGTTTCACACAAACCCCTCCTCTTCTCCCATTCCAGATGCCAATACCTCTCGAGCCGTTCCATTCACATGGAATCTCGTAACCCCTCAATATTCTCGTTTCTCAGCAGCAATATTCTCTTTTCGTAACCCCTCACCTTCCCCGCCCGCGCTGGCCAATACCCCTTGCATAATTCCCCCTTCCATTCATTCTCTCCCCACCTTCATCGCCTTCTCTTGGAGACAAGGCATACTTCCTTTTCCCATTTCATCCGACAGCGTGGTTTGGCACAGAGGCAGCAACTCATGGGGAAAGTGTGCAACTCATAGGGAAAGTGTGCAACTCATGGGGAAAGTGTGCAACTCATAGGGAAAGTGTGCAACTCATGGGGAAAGTGTGCAACTCATGGGGAAAGTGTGCAACTCATGGGGAAAGAGTGCAACTCATGGGGAAAGAGTGCAACTCATGGGGAAAGAGTGTGGGGGAAATAGAGATGCCCTCAAACTCACCTCGCGCCATGCCCCCCTTCTATTCCCCTCACCCTTCCGCCCGGCTAGTCCCTCCCATCATATGTGGGTTGAAGTGTGTGTCACGCTTGGGGGAGTTACGGCAACGCGGCAGAGCTCTCTCATATGTGGGTTGAAGTGTGTGTCACGCCCGGCTCTCTGATAGTGGGTTGAAGTGTGTGTAAGGCTCAGAGGGGTTATGTTCCTGATTCATCTCAACTCAACAAGTCCCTGCTGTGTCTGCTGTGTCTAATATGTTTATCATCATTTACATCCCCCACTCTGTCCCTCTACTTGCCTTCACCTCCCCCACACGCTTCTCCCCCACACTTGTCTCCCGCCTTCCCACAGTCTCCCTCTCAAGGGGCAGATGTGCTTCTTCTGAATCCTCCTCCCCCCTGCCACACCCCATCACCATCGCTCCTCTACATCGTCAACTCGCACACTAGACGCATCTTCCGCGACTTAGTTCTGGGAGGGGCAGGATGTGAAGGTGATCGCTCCTCTACATGCGCACTTTCAGCGTCGCAAAGATCAATCCAACCTTCCTTTCATTCCATCGTCTACATCCCGTCTTCCTGCACCAAGTTCACTTTTGAGGCGACTCTGAAATCACAGTGGTCAATCCGACCTTCTCTTTCATCGTGTACTGCCCCTCTTCCCACACCAACTCGCAGCATCCCACCTGGTGCATCGTCTCTTTCCTGCTCTCCCACGCCTCCTCTCTCCTTTCCAATTAGAGATGTTTCTTGCAACCCTCCCCTCCCCTCCCATCGCCTGCCCCTTCTGCCCCTTACAGCTTCCCACCTGGTGCATCTGCTTCTCTCCCACGCCTCATCCTGCCTGCACTGCGCCATCGTCTACCTGCACGTGGTCGCTTTTACGCTGCATCCATCCACTTCTATCGCTCGCTGCGCTTCTGCTACCGCCGCCTCTGCCCACGCGTCTACTATCTTGAGGGGGGTGACTAAGACGCGCTTCTCTTTGCGTGTTTTGTCACGGCTTGTTGCCTCCCGATTTGAAGTGTCTTTTTCTGGGTGTGCTGGATGGTGTGTTGTTTGTTGGTCGGGGAGGGGTGTTATATCTGTGGCTTAGTTCTTTTGATTGCTTGTTGCTATATGTGTTAACCCACACTTGCTTACATGCTTGAGTACACACAAACAAACGCACCCACCGGCCCGCTCGCAAACATATCCTCTCAGGCACACACAGATATTCCTGACAATTTGTTCACACATGATTCTTACCGTATGTGCAATGGATGGATGACGGCTCTAACTGGTTTACCTATTCTTGTTTCGCTTCTTTGCCTTCCCACTCAGGTTCCAGTTGCAAGGGCCAACTCTCCAGCTACTGTAGCCTGAAGACGCAGCAACTTCTACCGTAGTGTATGTTGTCATATCCATAGTGCGCGTTTGTCCGTCCCCTTCTTTTCTCCGAGATGTTATGCATTCTTTATGGATTCTCAAGTGGTTTAAGCCTTAATATCAAATTTCTTCGCTAGAGATGCATCTTGGCTTGCTTAGAATGTTACGTAAAATGTATAGATTGTATACTGTTTTTTTACTGTTTTACTGTTTTTTTATTTCTAAGCCTTTCTCGTCCTCAGGTAAGCCGGGTCGGTTCGTAAGGAGGAAGATTCCTTGTGGTCTAGGTTGTCAAAGTCCAGTTAATGCCAGCAGGACGACGCACGCCAATCGGGAATGCGGCCGCCTAATACATGCCGCTGTGTGAATGGCCAACTCCTACCGAACCAGTTGCGCTGGCCCGTTTTAGTTCGGGTCAACGATCTGTGGAGGGCCCGCACAAGCAACCTTGCACTGCTGTCAGCGATGAAAAGTCAAACACTTTCTTGACTGAGCCACTGCCTGCCATTGGTGGATCGTGAATGCTTCGCGCATCGTGCATGTTTTGTTGTGCATCTCCATCCTCCTCCTCAACTCCATCGAGACTGCCCATCGCCACATACAAGGTCTCCTCATTTCTTCGCCTTCTCGTTGTATCATTTGCCTATCTTTCCCGCAATCGCCACCTCTCTCTCCTCTCTCATCTTACTACGAACTCCTCAATTCCTTCTGTTAGTAGGGTTGCGGTGTGTAAAAAGGGATCCTGCAGACGAGCTACTGCTAGAGAATACAACCGCGATGGCCAGTTCGTTTTCCGGGCAGCTTTTCTGCGGTACCGGAGTGGCCCTGCTGTTTTTGGCCGCGTTGCTCGCCCAGCTATCCACGACCACCCACGCAATTCCCGTGACCGATTTGAAACCACCCTACAATCGATACGATAACTATAATTTCAGACTCATGAAGCAATTGTTCCAGCTGGACGGAACGACGGACATCTCCAACGTGACGATACTCCTCCCGTCGCTCGACGCCTTATACGCCGCATCTGAGAACTACCCCAAGCATGATAACGCCACGCGCAAGTTCGACCAGGCAATCGCCGACGCGCTCACGCTCATGTACAACGCGGCCATGTACCCCGGGGATAGTAAGTGGGACATCGGGACGAACATCTCCACTGCGGTTGACAAAGCGATGCTGGACATTTGGAAGTTTCAGATCGCGAAACAGTACATCCCGTTCGAAGTCGCGAAGCAGAAGGTACGTCTATCATGACTGGACCGCAGTGGAACGCTGTGGGCCATTGTGAACCGCAGTAGACCGCAGTGGACCTGCAGTGTATGTTCACGCATCTGGAAGTTTCACATAGTGAAGCAATACATCCCGTTCGAAGTCGCGAAGCGGAAGGTGAGAATTTGAGCCACGTACATCATGCCTGGACCGCAATGGACCGCAGTGGACCGCATTGAGCATGTTTACGCATCTGGAAGAACGGGAAATGCAGTACATCCTTGCAAATCAAGCATCCCAACAAGGCCTGTCAAGTAGAAAATGGAAAATAGTGGAAAATGCAGTACTCCGTTTCGAGTGACTGTAAAGTGGAAAATAGTGGGTCCTCGTATTTGAGAGCTTGAGAACCGATCCTACCGCCGCATTCCACCGTACCGTATTCATTACTAATAGTATTCAACCGCTGATCCGTTCCGTTCCCACGTCGCGCTCCCCGCCGCTCTATACCCCCTATTGCCAGTACTCATCTATCGGCGGACATTGGGAGCTCCCAACAATGCAGGGACAGCCGCTCTGGATGTCGTACCACCCGGTGTATCACGGTTCGTGGAACTACTCGGGCATGTCTCCTCAGCAAAAGGCCAGCTTGTCGCTTCCGAGAAGCAAGATCATCAAGGAATACGGCTATGTGGTGGATGATGGAACCCCGTATGCAACCACATCGGTGGAAAATCAAGTGTTGGTGGATGATCCCACCAGCGAGGTCGTGGTGTACAGGAGCGATCATGTTCTTATGCCTTATAACGTGGATGCTCTTGGCGCGTATGCCGGTACGTACACATGCTCGTGCGCGTGCCACACACACGCACACACATGCACGCACATGCACGCATGCACACACAATCGCTCATGTATATGCTTCTGAGGAACCCAAACAACCTATATGTATTCATCTTACATCGTGCCATTTGATGACTCCACACGATGCCCTACGATCCTGCTCCTTGTTTCTCCCATTCCCCTGCAGGAGCCACTGCTTCCATCCTCCACCTACTTGTCTCCATCAGCCTGCCTCTCATCGCATTCCTGATTCTGTAACCGCCGCACTCCTGCTGCTGTAACCGCATTGCTGCTGTTCCCGCTCCAACGTGTTAGCGTGATTAGCTTAATGAATGTGCCAAACCATGGACCCATGAGGGGCTGTTGAGGGGCAGCACTTGCTTGTGTGTTCAACTGCTTTGCGTTTGCAATGCATCCCATCTATTTTGGTTATTTGATGGTTTTTGCATTGCTTATTGCCAAATCCATCCCATCTTACAACCTCTCACATCCAGCGTTATGGGATTTGCCTCTCATTAATGTAGATGTTTGCATTTCCTTTCTGTAACTGAGTAGAATCTGCCAACCTACCATACACGCCAGTGGTTCTGCAATGGCCTTCCTTCCTGAATGCATGCTATCGTGAAACAAATACAGAAACAAATACCCAAAAGGCATGCTTTCCAATGCAGAACAATATACGGTATGATGCCAACAACTCTCCATTATGCAACTACAATAGGCAGGCCATAGCACTGTCCCCCTTAGTTTGCCTGCTCCACTAGAACATCCGAGCCACCACCTGAAGCTGCTCCGCAAACCTCTCAACCAAACCCCACACCACAACACACCTCTCATCTCAACCCGACCTGTTAGCCCACTGCATAGCTGCAAGCTTGTGCAGAAAATCCTATCGCAAGACCAGATCAGATAACATCGTATCACTTCCGATCATACTGTATCAGATCAAGTTTAACCTTGAGGTCCGGTACCAGGCCTAGGAGGGCCATATTGCCCCGGACCTGCTGGCCCAGGCCCGGGGTACTGTTGGGGAGGATAGGGTTGGGATTGAGGTCCGGGGTACTGCTGCTGCTGTGGTGCACCTGAGGGAAAACCTGGGTACTGTTGCGGACCGCCTGAAGGGCCACCTGGGTACTGTTGTTGAGCACCTGGAAGGGCACCTGAATATTGTTGTGGACCACCTGGGTACTGTTGTGGGGCACCTGACGGACCACCTGGGTACGGGGGTGGGGGACCCTGCTGTGGTGCATACTGCTGAGAGGGGGGCGGCATGTATGGCTGTTGCTGATACTGCTGCTGCGGTGGCGATTGATAGTGTTGCTGCTGCTGGTAACCCATGGGAGGAGGAGGGTATGAACCCGGATACCCCCCCTGCTGCTGCTGATAGGCCCCTGGATGAAGAGGAGGGCCACCTGGGGGAGGCATACCTGGCGCAGGCTGGTAGGGCTGGGGAGGATGAGAGGCAGGATAGGGAGCGTGGCCAGGGGGAGGATAGGCATGAGGTGGGTATGGGTAGGGTGCAGCTGTAGACGCAGCCGCAGACGCATCACCACCACCACCTCCTCCACCTCCCCCTCCTCCCCCTCCCCCTCCTCCCACTCCCCCTCCCCCTCCTCCCCCTCCTCCTTCCCCCTCCCTGCCGCGAGTGCGTGCCCCCATCCTCTCCGGGTTCATAGACGGATACATAGAAGCAGACGTCGCCGGACCTACCGCCGAACCTGCCGCAGCCCGAGGCAGCAACCCGAAGCTGCCCCCAGCCGAACCCTCTCCCGCACCACTCCCCCCAGCCGCACCACCCGACCCTCCATCCCCCCCCTCTCCCCCCTGCGCCCCCTCACCTCCCGCCTCCCCCTCCCCCCCACCCGCTCCCCCCGCCCCCTTCTCTCCCCCTTCCAACAGCCGCTTCCCTCCCCCATCCCCCCCCCCTCCTTCCAAAGCCTCTGCTTTCGGCCTCCCCCAGTCGAGCTTGAGCCGGATCCCCTTTATGATGAGCTTGTTGGCGAGGCCCTCTGCGGCCTTCTCGGCCTCCTCGCGCGAGGAGAAGGTGATGAAGGCACAGCTGCGCGGGGTGATGAGACGAATAGATTCCACCTCCCCGAACGCATAGAACTTGTCCCTGCCATGCACACGCGCGTGGGGAGGGAGGGAGGGAGGGAGGGGGTGCGGTTAGAGGGGGTGCGGTTAGAGGAGGGCTGGTAGCAAAGCCCCTCTTCGTGATGAGCTTGTTGGCGAGGCCCTCTGCGGCCTTCTCTGCCTCCTCGCGCGAGGAGAAGGTGATGAAGGCACAGCTGCGCGGGGTGATGAGGCGAATAGATTCCACCTCCCCGAAGGCATAAAACTTGTCCCTGCAAGAGGGGAGGAGGGAAGAGAGGAGGGGGGCAGGAGAGGAGGGGGGCAGGAGAGGAGGGGGGCAGGAGAGGGGGCGGGAATGGGGGTTGCAGAATGGAGCATGAAGGCGCGAGGAGAAGGTGATGAAGGCACAGCTGCGCGGGGTGATGAGACGGATGGACTCCACCTCCCCGTATGCATAAAACTTGTCCCTGCCAGAGGGGAGGAGGGTGGGGCGAGGGGCGGAGTGACGCCAACGACAAAGAGCGTCTGATGCTCGTGTCCTCTGGTCGTGGCAGGTGAAATGCACACCACACCGTAGCACAACATACCCTACCCCAGCTCATCCCAGCCCACCCCAGCCCACCCCAGCCCACACCACCACACCACACCACACCACACCACACCACCACACCACACCACACCACACCACCACACCACAGCACTCACTTGAGATCGGCCTCTGTAATGCGGGAGTCCACGCCCCCCACAAAGAGCGTCTTGATGGTCGTGTCCTCCGGTGCTTCCAGCGACGGCATTTCTGCTGCCAGCCGCATCATCTTCTTCGCCACTGGGTCGTTCACACTGCATTTGGAGGGCAACAGGAGGGGAGGATGGGAGAAAGAGGAGAGGGAACGATGGGCGAGCACGCAAGAGACGCCCCCAACGAACAGCGTCTTGATGCTCGTGTCCTCCGGTGCTTCCAGTGACGGCATCTCTGCTGCCAGCCGCATCATCTTCTTCGCCACTTGGTCGTTCACACTGCATTTGGGAAAAGGCGGGAGAGGGGAAAGAGGGGGGAGAGGGGGAAGCGGGGGAAGCGGGGGAGGAGGGGGAAGCGGGGGAGGAGGGGGAAGAGGGGGAAGAGTGGGAAGAGGGGGAAGAGGGGAAAGAGGGGAGAAAGGGGGAAGCGGGGGAAGCGGGGGAGGAGGGGGACGAGGGGGAAGAGGGGGAAGAGGGGGAAGTGGGGGAAGAGGGGGAAGAGGGAGGCATGTCAAGCAAGCACGAGACGGCATACTTGAAGTTTTGGTGCGCCAATTCCCCCGTGATGGGCATCTCGTGGCGGTAGGGGCACTCCGCCCCCTTCAGAACCACAGTGCACCATCGCACTACACCCCACAACACCCCCCTCCACCTCTATCCCCCACATACCCATAGTAGCGGTCTTTGAAGTTCTGGTGAGCCAGCTCCCCCGTAATGGGCATCTCGTGGCGGTAGGGGCACTCTGCCCCGCGCGTGCACTCCCCGCGCACAAAGAAGGAGCAGATGTGAGCGCGGTTGCGCTTGTAGTAGGGCGTCGTGCGCTGCAGCTTCAACAGCAGGTCGTTCGGCGCAGCCTTACCGAATGATGACTCGTAATCCAACCCTGCACGAGCCTGGGTGGGGGGGGGAAAGGGATGGGGGGAGAAAGGGGGGGAGGGGGGGGTGGGTGGGGTTGGGAGGAAGAGGAGGGGTGCGTCAAGGGGTGCGCGGTTGCGCTTGTAGTAGGGCGTCGTGCGCTGCAGCTTCAAAAGAAGATCGTTCCGCGCAGCCTTCCCAAACGACGACTCATAATCCAACCCCGCGCGACCCTAAGAAAGCGGGAAAGAGGGGGCGAGGAAGGGCGAGAGGAGGGGGAGACAAAGGAGGTGTAAAAAGAAATGGCCGAGCATAATCAATTACGAGTCGGGAGGAGCGCGGGGAGTTGCAGAGAGAAAAGGGGTGGAAGGTGTGGGGGGAGGGGGGGGGGGGGGGGGTGGGGAGGGGGGGGAAAGGGGGAGAGGGGAAGAGCAGGAACAACAACAATGGTTTCCCAAGGGCAACGAGAGGGCAGTGAGAGCAGCGGCCAGAGCAGAACGGGAGCAGCAGCAAGAGAGCAGATGATTTGCGGTTATCTTGCAGTCGTCCTCTCACCTTCCGGTCGTGCTCCTCCGCAAAGTACTCGCGGTTGACGTCGCTCTGCGGGATGGCGTCCGTGGTGTTGATGTTGAGCGCCGTGTCGCGCACCTGCACCGGCAGCCCGTACTCGAGGTCCAACATGCACACCTGGAGAGGGGATGGGGAGAAAGAAGTGAAACGAGGGTGGGGAACGGAAGGAGGGTGGGATGCGGGATGGCGTCCGTGGTGTTAATGTTGAGCGCCGTGTCGCGCACCTGCACCGGCAGGCCATATTCCAGGTCGAGCATGCACACCTGGGGCGAGAGAGGGAAGTGCAGGGCGGGGAGAAGGGGGTGGGGGACGGTGAAGAGGACGGGGTGTTGATGCTCAGCGCCGTTTCGCGCACCTGCACCGGCAGCCCGTACTCTAGATCCAGCATGCACACCTGGGGGGGGAAGGTGAAGGGGGGGGGGAAACGGAGGGAAAGAGAGAGGAGGATGGGGGTTGGAGGGGGTGTGTGTGTCCCGCACCGGCAGTGGCAGCCCGTAATCCAGATCCAAAGCCCGACTCAATTCCTCGTGGCACAGGAACCGAGTACGAACCTAGCGTGAATTATGGATCGACTCAAGGTCACGGAGCTGACATGGCAGATGGGGCAAATTCCAAATCCAGTCAGAAGTCAAATCAAATCAAATTAGATTGGATCAAATTCACGGTGCTGACCTGGCAGACGTTCTTGAGCTTGCAGCACGTCTGGCAGATCTCGGTCTTCTTGTAGCGCGCGTCGCGGCCGGGCCGCCATCGGAACACGGTGAAGGGGCGCGTACAGATCTTGCACTCCTTGTCGAAGCTCGCCTTGGTCTGAGGAGGCACCACACGGGAAGGCGACGAATTAGAACCAGCGACGAAATAGCCGCGAGTTCAAGGCAGCGAATTGAATGCAGAAAAGAAGGAGAGCGAACCAAACAGATAGGAAACGAGGAGATCCGTATAGAAGAGACTCTAGAAAGTAGAGGAGGCTGATCGGGAACGAATTGCAAGATAGTTACTTCTCTGGGGCTCCGGACTACGTCAACCTCCATAAAATACAGAAGGCTGATGGGCTGCCTCCTATAAATACCCCGTCTGGAGCTGTGTCCGCGGCAACCTCCATAAAGTATGACTACTTAAAGAAAACGATACTCGACGACGAGAGAAATTCCTCCAAGCCTCACCATGCGAACGTAAGGGTTCGCTCCAAGGCAAGTCTCGCAGATGATCGGAAAATCACTGCGCTCCCAGCCATCCGCGTCCTCGTCTCGTAACAACCGATGAGCCATGGCTCCTGGAAATAAACGTTAACACTAGGAACTCTAACGCCGGTGGAATTGCGAAAGACGGAACGAAAATGAACGTGATAACCAGGGGCTACAGCTACTAAGAAACTAGGGATGCTAATCTTGGAAGGACGAGACCGCAGGCCAAGAAATAAAAGCGGCAGTACGAAATTAGGGTTTTGAGGAAAAGGCTGCATAGGAGAAACGAGGAGGTTTGCTTCGTTCCGTGATCTTGCTTGCTTCTGACGGCAACTGTACACTTCCACGAAGTGGATCTCATCTCATCTCGCGTATGGCGAATTTTGTGGATACTTCTGCTTTGTTGTTCTGTACCTCTGTTCGATAACTTAACGCGAACAGTATATCGAGTCATCGACGCAAAGCCTGAGTTTTGTCCCTGGGTTGTGTCAGAACAACCTCGCAGCACGATCGTTCTCCGTTTCGATCAACCAACCAGTGGAACAACCTGCTGCTTCTGATCAGATGTTCAGCCAGATGTGCTACAGTGCTACAAAAAGCCGTACAGTACCCGACCAGCTCCTGATGTCACCCACCCTAGCGAATAGCAAAGGTGCTGGCTGTTGGCTTGCACCGCCGCAGCCTAGCGAAGTCGGCTGCAACCCGATGTTTCTGTCGTTTACCAAATTTCGGCTGGATCTCAATAGGGATTGCACATTTCGCTACGACTGGTTACCATCGAGACGAAGCACCGTCAAGCAAGAGGCAGGCAGTTCGGCAGCGTGGGTTAAATGCCCGCGTCGCTTGTCACTGTAGAGCTTGCGCCTCGTTGACGACTCGCATCGCAGTCGAACGTCTCCACGTTGGGTGGTTCAAGATGCCTCGGGCTCTCCGCCGCTACCCCTCCACTCCCCACCGCAGCACGGTCTTTCTACAGTCCACCCGTCGAGCAGATCTGCCTTTCCGCCCACCTTCACGGGGGCACGAGAGGGGGAAAAGGGGCAAAGCAGTCTTGCCCTTCAACAACAGCACAGCAGTAACCGCACAATTACTGGTCTCCTCCTCTCCTCCCAAACTCAAGCCAGCAACACCTACCTCATTTCCACCAGCCACAACAACTATACAAGGTGGCACACGCGCTCGGCACTTCTTTTTGCTGCACATATAGTTCCACGTAGAGAGTGTCCTGTGACCTGTGCACCATACCCTACTAAACCGTTAGAACCACCCTGATAGCAACGCGGAGTGGCTGGTCGCCATGGCTCCGTTTTGGGAATTCCGCGTTCACTCCGAGCCCAACCCGCACCCGCAGCTCGGCAGAAAACCTCGGCCCAGCGCGCTTCTCATCCCCGAACCCGTCGACCCTCCGCCCACCCCACGCCCCCTCGCCTCCCAACTCCCGCGCCCCTCTGCGCCGCTCCCGAAAATCCGCACCGAACCGCTGTGGCTCAATCAGCCGCCAGTTTTCTTCTCCAGCCATCCAATCGCGCCCATCGCCGAGCCCGCCGCCTCGTCGCTTCCGCCGTCTCTTGCGCCACCTCCGGCTCCGCGCCCTGCGCAGGCGCGGAAGCCGCGTCAGCGCCCGCCGCGGCAGCCGAAACTCTGGGACCTCATTCCCGAGCTCCCCCCTGCGCCACGCCCCTACAAGGTCCCCCAACCCTCCAGCGGCGACGTCCCTTCCGCCGCGCTCGTACATACTCACGGCCAGCCGTTTGCGCCGCCGTTCTGGCAGCCGGCCCCGCGGAATCCTAGCCGGCAGGTGTCAATCGGTTTCCCGACAGCGGGCGCTGGCGGCGTTATAGATCTGTCGACGTGGGGATCCGCCAACACCGCTGCGCGCGGGGTAGGAACAGTTCGGAGGGGGGAAAGGCCGGGAGAAATCCCGCAGATTCGAGTGAATTCCAGCGCGGGCGCGAATCGGGAAAAGCGGGACACGCGGCAGCTTCGGAACCCCGCCGAATCGAAATCCGCCCAGGTCTCGCAGACTAGAGTTCCGCTGGTGTCGCAGTCGCGCGAGGGGTCGACAGCGTCGTCAGCCGCGGCGCCAATCGCGGCGCGAGAGGCATCCGTAGGGGGCGCCGCTGCTTCCAGCGTTCCCGTTAAGGTGCGTTCATGTGTGCCTTTCTCTCTGTCTCGCGTGGGTGTCCGTGGACGGCAGGATGTCATGAGAGGGGAATGGGGAAGGAGGAAGGGAGGGAGGGAGAGAGGGAGAGAGGGAGGGAGGGAGAGGGGGAGGGAGGGAGGAAGGGAGGTAGGGAGGTAGTGAGGGGGCAGGGGGAGGGTACAGGGAGTAGTGGTTGGAAAGTCTGGTGGGGAAAAGGGACGAGGTTGAGTGCAAGAGTTCGTCAGAGGAAATTGCTTTGCGAAATTCACCTCGTACTGAACTCAACTCAACTTCTTCCTTGCTCTCATTGCTCCATTACTCTGTTACTCTGTGCAGGAATACACACTCTCCGTTGATGCAACTTCGTTGGATCTCGCACGGGCCAGGCAGCACCGAGACTCGTGCACCTGCTCAGTTGACTACGCCTCGCTCTGGGGTTCATTACTCTCTGCTGCTGCAGAAGTTGCAGTGGTGGTTGGTGATGTTGCTTCGCTCATTGCACCTCAATCACCCACGCCTCTAACACTAACAAGCAGTGCTGGAAATCCTCCTCCTGCATCTGCTATAAGACCCACTGTGAGCATTGCGACTCTAACTGGGAAGGGTGTAGGGCTGCTGCAAGATAGCAGTCCTTCGTCGGTCCTCCAAAATCCCGTGTCGGATACCTCATCGGAGCTTAGCCCTGACATATGAAACGGTTTCTACCTCTGCTCGTTTTTTTATACCATGTGTAACTCAATTTTCCGCAATAAATATGAAATTGAGTTCCGTGGAACTCTGGAGAGCTTCAGCTGCTTGAAATCATACTACTGTTAATTCAGAAAGGAGCTCACCATAAATATTAATTTTGTATCGAGATTTTGGAAAACCGAGGCAAAGAGGTCAGGAAATCAGCCACGTTCGGAGTTACGGTACGTAACTGGTCCGTAGTTTTTTGCTTTGGCCAAGGTGAGTTGGTACACCTGATGCTCACCCCATGCGCGCGAATTTGCCTTGCGCCGGATGGACACGCTGCACCCGAGGTTGTTTCCCCAGCTTCATGCACCCACATTACAAGCGCGTCAAGCAGAAGAGACCGAAGTCAAGCAGAAGAGACTGAAGTCAAACTAGGTAACTAGGTAGCAGGGTCTTGTTTATAAGCACATGCGAATTCTTTTTAGCTAGCTGCGAAATTGACGAACTTATGCGAAACGCACGATACAGCTTATATGCCCCCTTCACAAGGCAACCGGGAGGAGCTCAAACAGGCATCAGGAGTATGAGAGACATTGCAATAGTCACCACTCTTGACACGCCACGTGTCCTCAATGTTCTACTCTCGAGCACGCGCCCAGCATCTTGGGCTAGCCAAGTGACACTTCCTCCAGATAAGCTGCCCAGCTTCGAGGGGTGCCAAACCAGGCCTGGCTAGCCCGAGCCATCAGTGTGACCCTTGCGAACCAGCCTTCCTTCGTCAAACCGGTTCTCCATTAGGGTCAGTCAAGAGGCGCCGTGAAGCTCGGAGAAGCGATCTGTTGACAAAGCAGAACGACGGGCAGACCAGAGCAAAACCGCTAACGTCACCCCGAATCGCATATCTCCGAACCATGCCGAGCCGCAAATTCACTCCAAACCCGAGGCAAAAGTGATCGCACCGCCTCCGTGAATGCAGGTCCCATGTCAATCAAGATTTACAGCACGCTCCCCCCCACACTCTCCTCCTCACACGCACCCCTCGCATGAACATAAATTCCTTCCCATCCATTCCAGCCTTCGTTTTGCCCTGCACCTTGCACTCCTGCACAGCAGCACATTTAGCACCTTCTCCCAGGGTTCAATTTTCAATCCTGATTGTCCACCGATGGTTCCCATCATCATGGCCCCATCCTGGAGCTCCGTTGTGGAACAGATTGCCGTAGTTACCCAATACGAACAGCAGCAGGACGACAAGCTTCAATCCAGCCAGCCTCACAATGAGCCCGTTCTGATTCCAAGCCACGAACACACACAGCATGCGCATAACCTCGCGCCCCCTATCGGCCGCAAGCCGCGTCCCACCGTTTTGCTGATTCCCGCAGTCCTTCCTCCGCCAGCCTCCCCTCTTCCGCTTCCGCCGGCCCATCACCGGCGCCCCGACCAAATACAGGCGCGCGCGCAACAGCTGCAGGGGGAGCCGCATGCGCGCCAGGGCGGTCCGCACAGGCGCGCGCGCCAGCTCAAGATCTGGGATCTGCAACCCGAGCTCCCGCCGGCCCCTCATCTGCGGCATGACCGCGCGCTTGAGCGCGAGTTCGCGCAGCAACTCCGCAATCTCCCGCCGGAGCTGCCGCCGGCCTCCCAACCGGACGTGGGACTGCCCGAGGCGCCGCCTAGTGACGGCGCGTGCGGCGGCGGCGCGCCCGGGCGAAGCGGCTTGTGCTCCCCGAATGGCGGCGGGCTATGCGGCACCGCCCATTGCGCTCGCTGTGACTGGCTCAGTCGGCCGAAACGATGGCCGTCGATCGGCTTCCCCGTGCGGCGAACCGCGCAACTTGCGCAGCAGGTGGAACGGGTGGCGCATCCTGCGCGGCGGATCGACGAGCCTGCGCCCTTCCGCGCGGGGACCGAAGAGTTTCCGCCGCCCCCGTGCGCCTTCACCTCTACTCCCGCGGATCTCCCTCTCGCAACGCCCCGCGCTTCCCGAGGCATGGCCGAACCATGGGGCGGATCGGCGGAGCTGGTGCAGGCCTTGGGCCGCGGAGGGCTGGCGGAATCGGGTGCGGCCCTGGGGGGGGGTTGGCGGAAGCTTCCTGCGCCTGGGTGGTACCGGCGGCGGGATTGGGGGATCGTGAGTGCGCGGAATGCAATCCGCGGAGTATCTGTGCGCGCATCATCCGGAGCTGTGGCTCCGCTTCCGGTTTCCCCAACAACGCAGCGTGCTCCCCCAATGGCGAGCCATGCTCCTACCGACGTCCCTGCTGTGCCCGAACGGAGTGGCAACGAATGTGCAGCAGTTGAAGCGGACCCGCGCAACAAATCCCACCGCGCCACGTGTCTCCCCATCAGTGGCGAAGCCATCCAGACCCACGTGGCGTCCTTCTGGCTGAATGTGCTGGAACATTTGGAGTTTCTGGGGGAGGTGTCATCTGCGTTCCTGGGGGAGACTGTACCTGGAGGACGAAACAGGCGGGAACTGGGGGAGGAGTGGAGCGGAACTCAGGCAGGAAGCAGCATTAGCGGGCAGCCTTATAGCCGTGAGCGTGAGCAAACCATAGGGGCAGCAGCAGCAGCACTAGTGATGGGGGGAAGTGATGGTGAGAGATTGTGCAATGCGGTTGTGTATGGGCAAAAGGGGGAGGCTACTGCTGCCATGCAAGCTCGCCTACTGTCTGACCCTACCATTCTTTCACCAGACATGCGCTGCCGTGATTTCAGTGGTTTCAACATCGGCGACCTTACCATGAGTGGCCCTGTTGGTGCCGCCTTGTGTGGCACTACTACACTTATAAGTCTGAAAGATCTCGCATCTCCTCCCTTGACTTCCCTGCAGCCTCTCCCCATGGCGTCCTCCTTCCACCTGGGGGAGGTGTTATCTGCAGTGCCTCCTGGTCAAGGCACCACTGCTAAGAACCGCACTGAAACGGGCCGACCGTACCTGCGTGTCCGATCCACCCTATCAGGCCAGTTAAGCGGCATTGACACGTGTCGCAAGGGGACTGGCCACAGCCCTGCATCCATTCTGGACTCACCTGTTCCTTCTGATGACTCTGGCTGTGACTCTCGCCCTGAGCTAATGTGGGGCCAGCCCACACTCCTACTTGGGTACTAAACAGCTTACTTATCGATTCAATTGTAGGGTAACTCCTTGTTAACGATCATAGGGTAATGTACTCTGTTGAAGACCAAACAATGACTGTTCATGCCAGTCAATATTTACTACTGTACTTGCTAGACTGTGGTAGTTCAGGCTGATACTACCAAGAACGGTATATCATAAGAGACTGTTCATGCTTGTGCTGTACATGGTGTTGCTGCAGTGCAGATGCTGTAAATGATTGGTACGGGTCAGTACACTAGAAATGTGGGGTGTGTGTGGAGCAGGCCTGTCGAAGTTCCTGGGACCCATACTTGCGCTCCCCAGCTCCTCCCCATCTGACCCTGTTTTTGGTGTAGCTGAGCGTTTGGGCGCCCTCAACGGTCACGGGCGCACCCCAAAGTGAAAACTTAAAATCCGGGCCTGTGAAGAGTTTGCACTTAGACGCGAAGGGAAATTTTGGGTGCTCTAAAGCTGACTTTCAAACACGGGATGGCTAGAAAACGCGGGAAAAATCCACTCCTCTCGTGCAACCTAAGGGGAAAGGGGGGGGGGGGGGGCACTTAAAGACGCCAAGGGAAAATTCGGGTGCTCCAAGCTGACTTAGACGCTTTACTAACGCAGGATGGCTAGAAAATGTTAAGGGAAAAATCCACTCCTCTCGTGCAACCTAAGGAGAAAGGGGGGGGGGGCGGGGGGGGACACTCAGACGCTAAGGGGAAATTCGAGTGCTCCAAGCTGGCTTAGAAAACGCTAAGGGAAAATCCACTCCTCTCGTGCAACCTAAGGAGAAAGGGGGGGGGGGGGGCACTTAAAGACGCTAAGGGAAAATTCGGGTGCTCCAAGCTGACTTAGACACTTAACTAACGCAGGATGGCTAGAAACTGTTAAGGGAAAAATCCACTCCTCTCGTGCAACCTAAGGAGAAAGGAGGGGGGCGGGGGGGGACACTCAGACGCTAAGGGGAAATTCGGGTGCTCCAAGCTGGCTTAGAAAACGCTAAGGGAAAAATCCACTCCTCTCGTGCAGCCTAAGGAGAAAGGGGGTGGGGTCAGGCAGAATTTGGGGGGGGTGGTGGGTCCTACAACCAGAAACCAAAACTTCGAGACAGGGGAAGGCCTGGTTTGGGCCCTTAACGCATCCGGGGAAGGGTCGAGCGCGGCACTTAGTGGCACGGGTGCAGTGCGAATCTAACACTCTTGGCAGTCGAGCTGGAGCGAAAGTAGCCCGGAATGTTCAGGGCATTAAGGGCATATGCCCTTGAATCGACAGGCCTGGTGTGGAGTAACAGAAGTTTCATTAGACGTTCACATGCACATGCTACATGCAACACACATTACCAGCAACTCAAAACATGGGGTCCTGATTAGGGAATGAGGGTTGGCATATCAACACGAGGTGACTGTTTATGCCGAACCCTCATGCCCTAATCAAACCCTTGTGCCCTACAATCCAGTCCGCCTAACTAAAGCCCTTCAAACAGGCCAAGTCCTACGAAGGTCAAGTCCTACGAAGGCCAAGTCCTACGAAGGCCTACGAAGGCCAAGTCCTACAAAGGCCAAGTCCTACGAATATTTCCTCGCAACTCCTCCATCTAGTTGTGAAACCTCCTGGTCTGGCTGGGTTGGGGGGAGACACAGCAGGCGTCGCCATATCTGCCAACCACAGCTGCAAGATCTGTCATACTGAATGCAGGCCATGTCGACCGAGCGAGCAGCTGCCAGCGATTATTAGCGTGTTGGAGGCATGAATGCAGGCCATGTCGGCCTCACCAGCGTGTGATCATCACGGCTTTTATTAATTGGCTTTCAGCATCCTCCTCCTCTGCTTCTTCTTCCTCCTCCCCTCCTCTCAGCCCTCCTCCTTCTCCTCCTCATCCTCATCATCAAAATCGAAGCCGATGTATTCCAACACGCCTGCAGGGCTCCCAAACCGTCCCGACCCAGCCTTCCCCTGCTGCCCCGCATTCCCACCCTCACCCTCTCCCGCCTCCTGCTCTTCCTCCTCCTCCTCGGATATCAACCGCCAAAGCCATGACGACTTAGATGACTTATCAGAGGAAGCATCGGAGAAGATGCCAAGGACGGCCGTCAGGAGTTCGTTCAGGTCAGCAGCACAGATAGGCGCTTCCCTGTATGCCCTAATCTGCCTTCTCCTCTGCTGCACTTTCTCCTGCTGCATTCCACGCGTCTCAGAAGCGTGCATCACTCGCCCCTGTAGCGCGATTCCCGCCGCTCGAGACGCGATTTCGGGAGCCTGGGGAGTCACAGCCCACCTGCGGGCCTCTGGCTCTTTATGCGATGCTTCGCTATAGGGAGCTGTCTTACCACCGTCTGCTGCTTCGGTACAAGCTACCCCGCCGCTGGCAAATCGAGCCGAGACGGACAAGCCTCCTCGCTTCTTATGCTCGTCACTCTTCCAGAGGTGTCCATTCCCTGTCGCTCCTTGAGCAGCATTAACCGCGTTGACATCGTTGACTTTGTCGGCTGATTCGACTGCAGCTTCGCGGAAGCTAGCTTGAAGGTTCCGCAGCACCTTCGGCACGCCAATGGCGTGAACCCCTTGTCGTGGACTGGTAACCCCATTCCAAGGCTTCGCCAAGATCTCGTTCTGGGGATTCGCAGTCTCCTTGAGAGCAGAACTGTCCTGGAGCCCTGTCTGGTTACCACACAGCGATCGGTTTCGCACGTGAAGCGCGTAACACTTGACAGAGCGATCGCTAGGGCGACGCGGAAAGCCAGGCGTCGGCTCGGGCCGAAAACAACTGCTGCTCTCTTCCGGCGCTTTCGGCGTCGGCAGCAGATCCCAGATCTTCGGCTGCCGCTGCCGGCGGGGCTGGCCGGCAGCGGGAGCGGCCGGATGGACGGCGACTGGCGCGCGGGGTTGGTGGAAAAGAGGGTGCGGCTTGGGGGTGAGGGGCGGGGGGGTGATTTCGGGGATTTGCAGCATTGGTGGGCGGGGTTTGCGGCCGAGGGTGGGGGCGGGATTGTGGAGCGCGGGAGTGAAAAATGGAGGAGGGACGTCGAGGAAGCTACAGAAGTCTGACAGCGACATGACGACGGGCTGATTGCGTGCGTTTGGAATATCGAGAGTGTGAAAACGAGCTAAGTTGAAAAACAAAACGAGTCAGAAAAGTACTTGGGGCTTCTCTAAAAAAAATGGTCCGGATGAGGAAGTTACACGGTTGAGGCACTGGAGCGCGTCAATAAAATCTTGCAAGCAATAGAACTCTGGAGAAGTGAGTGGGAGAGTGAGTGACAGGCGCACAAGAATGGCGGCGGCCTTTATCGTTGCTTCTTCCGTAATCGTGGCGAGGACGAGAGGTGAAAGTAAGTGCAAGAAACGGGGGAAACTGAGGTGGGTGGAGAAGGAGGTCGGGTCGGGTGTACTGTAGTGGGTCTGGCTGGGGGGAGCGGAAGCACCAGGTCGGGCTGGCTGCAGAAATGAATTTTGATTGGTTGAAGTTTGGTTCGGCCCCGATTCCGAAGCAGCGTCTCTCCGTTTCGTCCGAAACAGACAAGAGATTCAACGCGGCGCGGTACAATTCTCTGTCGTGGTAGTCGGTCAGCGCGAAGGTGGCGCCTCGTGAGCCGAACTTTCGTTGCACTCCACGTTCCGAGCGGATGACTCTCCATTGACACGAGGCTGTGCAGGGTGGTTTGGGGAGTCACCTAAGTATAAAGGCCGAGCCAAAACAGGCCTGGTGAGGAGGTGAGGTGTGATCGCGATTAGGGAAGCTGAGACAGTTATCGAACCATGGCTGCCGAACCAAGAGGCGCGGTGGTGCACCGTACCGCAAGTTCTTCACCGTCCACATCGAGAAAGCGGACTGCCCTCCAATTGCCCAACCTGTCGGTCACCGTCACAAGCGCCACCGCCATCGAACTCGTCACTATCGTAGCATAACCATTCACAGAGCTTCATCCAACAGAACACAAGTCATACATGCCTAGTAATATTTTAACACCATATATGGAGATAGTAATCTAGTCAGGGTACATTATAACGAACACGTTTTCTCTCTCCAAAGTTTCAGTGCGCCTCGCCAACGCAACAAATCAGGCCTGTCCCACCTCTGACATGCTCCGAAATCTTCGAGGCGTATTCAGGGATGGTAAAACGCGACTTGATGTGTTGATGACGCTCTGTGATAAATTCTAGAACCCCACTTGATCTGTCGTCGTCCTCGCTTCGTAAAATCAAGGTAACTTCGGAAATCGTTTCCACCGAGATAAGCTTGTTCTAGCGTAGCTCATTGCCTCAAAAGCTCACGAACATTCGCAGGTCACACGTCTCCGATATATTTGCTACCGATGTTATGCTATGATTACTATCTACAAACATTACATCTAGGAGTCCCTGTGCACCATGGGAAGCCATAGAAAAGGCATCATCGGTTTTCACTTGTCCCTTCGCGCTGCGGCCCACTTACTCCTCCTGACAGCAGTTGCAGTCCTCGCGTTGCTTGGATGGACCTGCAAAAGACGGGATCTCACTGTGTTGCTCTCTAATCTCCTGATCCTCTCAAACGTCACTGCATCAGAGGAGATTAAAGCTGGATTTCCAGCTGGAAGAGGAGACATCGAGGAAAAGGATAATTGCGATTTTGGGGGTTCGAAGGTTTTTCTGCGAAAAACCTGCGACTGAGTTGCGCGAAGTGTAAAAAAAACAACGCACGCAAAAAGCGACTTTCTGTACACTAGTTGCGAATGCGGAAACCAGCGGAAAAATGTGACCGCAAAGTTGCAGTTCCGTCAAGATTTACGAGTCACTCGGTTTTGCGCGGTTCAAAGAGTTTGAAAGCGTTTTGGCAGTGTAACGTTGACAGTGGCCATGGTAACAACAAATTTTACGAAACTGAACGACCCCACGAAATCTAGCGAGGTTACAAACGTGCATACATCGTTTTTTCTGTCCGCAAAGTTGCAGTTCCGTCAAGATTTACGAGTCACTCGGTTTTGCGCGGTTCAAAGAGTTTGAAAGCGTTTTGGCAGTGTAACGTTGACAGTGGCCAT